GGGAGGGGAAAGTAACTGTATACTGCGAGGTATACTCGGAGGGGGGAGGGGAAAGTAACTGTATAGAGGGGGGAGGGGAAAGTAACAGTATACTGGGAGGTATACTAGGAGGGGGGAGGGGTAAGCAGGCCAGTAACAAGAGGTCAACAAGTTTGGAACAAGCAGTGCGAATTGTTAGAACAATCGTGTAACATGCAAATCTGTTGCAAGCTTGTAACAACTTGTCAACAAGCATTGTGACCTGATATCAACTTGTTGTTGCAACAATGTTGTATTAACATGCAAATCTATTCCAGGCCTTTGCGTGATTTTACGTCTGATCTATTATTAAACTTTCCCACCCAACGCGTCACTAGCAACGAAATTATTTCAAACAATACCACACTCTATCACATTATTCCAAAATATTCTTCAAATGTATTTACTTGACCTGTTATACCGCGGCATTCCAGCGAGTTCACGATAGAAAATATTTTGCCTTTCGGCCCAAACCGTGGTTAACCACAGCTCTCATTGTCATAGTAAACTTGTTGAAAACATACAGCAGTCAGCGATTTGGGAAACATCCATAAAACTACTTTTCATTTCTTCGGAAGCCAAGAAAATTAAAGCTTAGAGAGTGAAAAATACTTAAATCAGGTACATATATTATATATTGCATTATAATTACCTTTACTGGGATGGGGTATTAAGCCCGATTTCACTGCAAAACCCTGAGTTTGAAAAATTAAAAATTTGTGTAATTATAAAATAGTGAGGGTCAAAATATTGTGTAAAATGACTCGCATTCATGACCAAATTTACTTAAATTTTTGAGTAGATATTTATTTTGCTGAAAAATTGAGTAAATTTCAAAAGTCGTTTCCATTGACATTGTTCACCTGCAGACATCAAATTAAAAAGTATGTAACACTCACAGACAGTTTAATATTCAGAAATTCCTATACGGTTATTAAGGTATACACACATCAATAAAACCTTATACCGTACATGGCAATACGTATTAAAGGATTAGCGAAGATTATGCCTTATTGGATTGGATAGTTTACACAGTGTCCAACTCAAATTTTGATATATAATACGAATCACTAACGCTTTGTCAAGAGCTTGCCGACATGTATAACAGGTGATAGGAGCGTTAGTTAAATATGTTTTGCTGAAATTTTTAAGAGGGAAAACGTTGTTTTCATTTGAAGGATTATTCCTGATGAAGAGCTACAATGGTATCGAGTGAGCTGCTGTGACAAACAATAAATAAACTCAGTTGCTTCTCTGTTCACCGTGGGAAGCTACGTTTGGAAGCGACAAACTGAACGTTGACAGACAATAGTGGGCTGAGAAGTTTGTCAAGTCGTCTGGAAAAATGTCCTCGATTGGAATCGACGCATCTTTGGCTATCCTTCGGCAGGGATTGGTAAGTTCGAGCGTTGTATACATTGTTACCGAATTCTCATTGTTATGTTGTATGAAAATTATAAGTGTAAAATAGTCAAGAAATATATACCAAACTATTACTTTGTTTATACTGGATAGTTCTATCAGTTCTAAACTGTTCTCCCTAGAGGTCCAGTAAGGGTCATCTCTTACTGATCCAGTGTCACTACAGGAGGAAACCTAAACTAAACTAACTTTATTTATACTGGATAGCTCTATCAGTTCTAAACTGTTTTTCCTAGAGGTGCAGTAAGGATCATCTCTTATTGATCCAGTGTTACTACAGGAAGAAACCTAAACTAAACTAACTTTATTTACACTGGATAGCTCTATCAGTTCTAAACTGTTCTTCCTAGAGGTCCAATAAGGATCATCTCTTATTGATCCAGGGTTACTACAGGAGGAAACCTAAACTAACTTTATTTATTCTCCACGAAACACTGCAGGTTCTGTTCGCGTATACTTCGACTTCCTCCTGTAGTAGACAGGTCTGGACCAATTTAAGAGATGATCCTTTTTCTGGACCTCTAGGGAGAACAGTTTAGAAATGACAGAGCTATCGAGCATAAAAAGTTAGTTAGTTCAAATGACAAAGATTAATGACAAACTAATGACAGTGGTCACGTTTTAATACCGGCCAACACACGTCTCTTAATGTTTTTGAGGGTTAGGGAATCTAGCATGGCAACCAGCCAGTAATCCCTTAAGTTGTTTGTATCAATTCTTTGAATTACGTCGCGTGCACTTTGAACTGTTTCAAGAGGGATTCTGGAACAGCTTGTTGTCAGCTTTTCATTTTAATTTAACTATATTTACAACAAGGGCCCAGAGTGGGAAATATTCTGCATGGGTCTGCAATAAGCTGCCCTGATTTGTGACTGAACTACCAGAAAAAGACATCTCAAATGTGTGGGTAGTATAGGTATAGTATTGTACAATAAGCAGCTGTGGTTTGTGTCCTTTATTGTCGACCTTTACGGAGAAGAAGTTTCATCAAAATGGCACACTTGCTAATCTTTTGATGAAAATCCTTTTACAAGTAGCTCAGAGCCTCAGACACAAACCACCAAAGATTTTTATATATTCCAGTTATGCTAGGATGGTATTTAAGAACTTCCGTGACCTTATTAGATTCAATACTTTTACCAGTAATCATGTGGGTTGATTAGGTATAATGGTATATGATATGATACCCGATATAACCATAACTAATTCCTAAATGGTACCTAGGATATAATATTTGTTACATATTGTTACATATCCAATACACACGAACTTTTGTAATGAAAAATATTGAATATAAGTTACTTAGTCTTAGATTAAAACTACAAGGCTTCAAGCCCACACTAGTTGAAAAGTTTGAAACTTTAAGAGGATTTGAATTCGACCTTACTTAATTTATACGTTGCTTACGTGCGCATCTATGTGCATTATGTAAAGAAGCTATACATGTTTTGAAAGTTATGGTAATTTTTTCACCTGTCTTGCAAGATATTATATTTACACATCAAAACTTTATTTTTTGAAGTGAAACGGGAACGAAATTTAAACCAGGAAAGAAAGCATCTCCCAAAATTTGAAGGAATTTTGTTTGTTGATAAAGCCTTTTTGGATAAATATGTTCAGACTAAAATACTTAGACATTGTTGATATTTCAAATAACTACGGCTTAGTAAGACAAGCATAAAATGCAAATTATTCGGGGGGAATGAATATTTAAGCCTTCGTGTATCTAATACATCGAAATCGGACGACACTTGGATTACGAATTGTTTTAAAAAGCCTGTTTATGGCTTATATTTATGTTTAAAACTCTAAAATAAACTCTTCTCGAAAGAGCTCGTATATGTGACAGACGTAAATAGATAAACCTCCTACGTCTAGCAGGTGTTGGTTGCCATAGGCAACGTATGTTATTCCAGATCTCTTTATCATATCTTGTAATAGTATGCAAACATTTGTCCTTGTCAAAACTGGATCAAAGTCCTTGCTGAGTTTGCTCTGAGAAAATATCTATATAGTTTTGCCATGAGTTCGTGATACTTGGGGAATTAGGGAACATGGATAAAAAGAGATTGCAGGAACTTGAGATGGTTTTGGTTAGTTTTATTAAACACAATTATATATTTATTAGTATTTTATCAACGCTTTTATCTTTCTATGTATTTTGTATGTGTTTCTTAATGGAAAACACTTCTACAGCGATTGGAAATTGTGAGTGCCAAGTTAGGTCTAGTATAGAAATGCAACCGTCTAAACAATACAAGGTGAATTTCGACGTTTCGAGCGAAGGCCCTTCCTTGCCGGGAAGTTTCGCTCGAAACAGAAGTTCACCTTGTATTTTCAGGTAGATGCATCCTATCATAATCAGAAGCTTTCTTGTTATTGCCACTGACACAACTACTAATTGATTTGTTTTTGTCAAACACCCCGCAAGGGTCTGTCGTAGCGTTATCGATTCGTACACGCGCAGCCCAGATCTCCGTCAGTGCAAATAATATATTATTCTTCATACGAATATCTGTTCCAAGCTGTCCTAAACTAAATTCATAGCAGTGTCTTGATACTGGCAACTCGAAAGATAATGTTGGTAAAGTTCTCTCAATTTTGGCTAACGATATTCGATAAACAACTACCAGTTTAAGTAAATAATGTTCGTTCCATATATATTCATGTCTTACTCTTCACTATTTTGAAGGACGAGAATTCCTGAAAATAGAAAGTAATTGGAGGTTCTGAAGAATATATATTAGATAGAAGTTCGAACTTATATCCTCCGTAATCGTCTCTTTTTTTACAGATAGTTGCCAGCTGTTCAGAGCTGAAGTGGCTTAACCCCAGGTTAACCTGAAATTCAAATCAAACTTGCCAACCGTTTCTTTATAAATTTGGAAGTATTTCTTCAGAAATCTTTAGGAATTTTCCGGATCAGTAGGAATCTTCTTCTCTGAAGCTTTGAAATAAACAGACATGCTGAAATACACAAACTAAAACTGGTTAAATTTTAACCGAGGGTCAGCTCTATAATCCCTGTCCATTCCTATCTACACTGGAACACTTAATGTTGTTTTATTTTCACAGGAGGCGATGCAAAAGCAAGACAAAGCTTTGTACTCGCAACTTCTCACGCTACGAGATGGCATCCGTGGTTTGAAAACAGAACTCAAACATGAACGCGAGCAATGCGAGGAGGCGTTTAAAGATTTGGAAGAAATTGCAGGAACGGAATTCGAAGACGATGTATTTCTGGAAGGAAGTGAGCAAAATTTAAGTAAAACGTCGAGCGAGAAGATTGAAAATGCTTGGAGCACACAGGACACGTGGAAACACGACCGACAGGATTCAGGAATCTCTGTCAAAACACCGGAGGCTGAGAATCAAGAGTCTAGAACAACGACCCCTACATCAAAACACCACACATACGAGTTCGTGAAGTCCTCTGCAAGTAGGCAGGGTTCTAAGCCGGAGTTAATCTCGCACAGTAAACAAGAGTTTAGTTCTCATGTCAAAACAGTCGATGCTGAATTACCACAAAAGAAAACAACGAATGCTAAGCCCGTGTTAATCCAGCACAACTCGCAGGATTCCGGCATTTTAATCGACGAGGATGCCGTCAGGGAGACCTCGTTGTTGTCCAAATTAGTTGAGAGTCCCGAAATGCTCGAAAAGCTCGAGAATCGAAAATTTGATCGAATTGTTCAGAAGGAGTGGATGAAAATCCGCGGTGAAAATTCGTTGGGGAATCGCGGGATTCATCACCAACGCTCGCGATCTAGTAATGATCTTTTGAAATCGCAGCCTCACCGAACCTTACCCCATCAGTATTCCACACCCAGTCTTCAACCGAGACATTCTCATACGAATTCATGTCCACAGAACACGCTTATGCAGTTCACTACACCAGGAAATGAACTTGCAAATTCGTCCGTCAAACAGTTCAATGCAGTTAACAAAGTGAAAGCGCACCAACATCTCAGTCCAAATCATTCTCGTACTAGCTCTTGCCCACAGAATGTTCTTAAACAATTCACAGCAAGAGATGTTCATACTTATGAAAAACCGTCAACTAAACGACCTAACGAGCTAGGGAAAGTTAAAGGACTTAAAAGTGATGAAAAACAACATTTTCAACTGCCTGTCGAAGTTGACAAACCACTTAAAATGAACGAAAAACTAGAAAATTCCCTAAAAGATGACAGTCTCGACCAAAACCATCAAAGATTCTTCACCACAAGCGACCGCGCAGCGTTGTCGCTGGCTCTAAAACCAGGAAACGGAAATACCGCCTCGAAATCTGTTTTCAAACACATTTTTACCCCCCAGCATCACCACACAAGGTCGTTGCCCACGACTCCCGTGAGGGAACTTATTGTGGCGGAGAATTTGTTGAACAAGCAGGGATATAAACGCAGTATGCAAAATATTTCCGAATGTCAAGTGGTGACATCGAAACAAGTACGTCCTCGAAAGCGCAGCGCAAGCTATGTTGATATGGGCAGTGTGGGTGGAGAGACTGACGTTACACTCACGCCACGGAAAGCGAGTCTCGTGCAAGTTGATAGCTTAAAACAGGGTTTGGAACAGGGTAAGGTCAGCCCTAAGCTTGAGGAGAAATCTTTCATCTCACATCAAGTTATTGAAAATGATAGCTTAAAACAAACTAGAGAAAATGACATGTTACAACGCAAGAACGATGCTAGGGACAGTTCTCAGATACCACGTAAGGCGAATGTCGTACAAGTTGATAGCTTTAGTGGTTATAATCAAGTTCTAAAAAGCAATGAAGATCTGAGACAAAGCAAGGAGAACAGCATTTTGACATCACATAAAGCCGTTGTTGTACAAGTCAACAGTGTGCCTCAAGGCGGAGAAAACATTCAAAACAAGGCAAGAGTAGTACATGTCAACCGTCTAAAACAGTTGCAAGAAAACACGAACCTCACACAAAATCAGGCAGACGAAAACGGGGAGTTGAAGGCATCGAAACCTTTGCGGGCTGTACTAGTCTCGGCCACCGAGGTAAATGTCTCGAATATAACGGACAAACAGCCGTTGTCACGGCGATGCAGCCTGGACGAGAGAGCGGTCGGGAACCACCGTGAGGGCGCGCAACGGAGGTTTACGATAACAAATTTCAAAACTGAGCGACTATCGCCAAGACCGCAAGCTGAAAATGGTAAATTGTCGCCACGATTTCTCGCGCCCAAGAATCACTTACGTCATCACACCACGCCAGAGTATGACGTCATACGACGACGTCATTCGTTGTATACTTTCCACGGCCCTTCAAAATCCTGGGACGGGTATGCAACCCGGAGGGCAAGCGAAATCAAGAGAATGGTAAGATCGGCGAGCCAAGTGTCTTTGGTCTAAATGGACATGTAGACTGCTTTCAAACGTTCACTGAAAATGAAGCCAAGTTACACAAATTTGGCTATCGTTGTTCACACACTGATCTGTGTTCACATGCCTGGTTACTATTCTTCTAGTTTACAAAAACATAGAATAAAACAAAGGTATGAACTAAACATTAGAATTGGTTGTATAAGAGTTATTCACTCAGGTAGATAATTCTAAAGTTTAGTTACCTTTGTTCTTTTCTATGTTTCTGTAAACTAGAACAATGATAATTAGGCATGTGAGTTATCTTATTGTGAGTTGGGTATAAATAAACTGTAGCTAAATTTATCTATGATGCTTGTGATGTTACTCTGCCGGAGTATATATCCACACCGGGCAAGCTTGAAAAATATTACCTGACCACGGTGGGAATCGAACCTACGACCTTTGGAACATCACATCAGAGTAACGTCACAAGCATCATATTCACCTGAGTACACCAACACAGAAAAAATCATGATTATCTATGATATAAACATTGGTAGACAGTTGTTGAATTTCACTAAGCATTATTGCGCAGCAGATGATGGTCAAATAATGTATTTTCATTGTATTAGTCTTAAATTTGACGCAATTAAATAAAATTGCGCGACTAGGTATAATTTTCTTTTAACATTTCAACATTTTTGAAGTTGAGTTAGTTGACCACAATCTGCTACCTTATAACGCTTGCTGGGTCAACTATACGAGAAAAATACCTTTTTTTAAAAGGTCTGTCAAACTAAGACGCAAGATGACAATATAAATATTTTAATTCAAATATATAAAGCATCTCTGCAGGTATAAAATTTCACTAGCACGATAGATAGATAGGTAATATATGGGGGAAAATCATTGAAATCAAACTGAAAACACAGGTATGCACATTCAGAAGAATGTACGCTTGTCAAAAAGAACACTGGAATATTTTTATTTTAGTATAACTTTCAGCATGATAGGGTAAATTAAAATTATTTAAGCTAACATATAAGTAATCTAGCACTAAACTAGATCGATTGTATAAGAAATGTTGTGTACTGCAAGCGTTTTTGCATCTGCTGTTCGAAGTCTGGAGATCACAGTAGAAAGTTTGCATCACGTAAATTTGAAGTTTTGAAAGATTCGTGAAAGCTCAGACCTCTCTTACAAATCCTTCAAAACTTAGAATTTACCCATGCAAAATTCCTACTGTGATCACAGAAACTTTGATGTTTGTCAAAAGCATTAGACATGTTTTAATATGAGCATTGAGTTTCAGCCAGCCTCATGCTGATTATTCAACCAGATTTTCACGTTTGAATAGACCATGTTTTTCATTATATGCGCCTGTTCATTATTGGGTGCAAGCGACGGTAATTCAAGCCCAGTCTTCCCATTTCTCAATCCATCGCGCGAAGGAAAGAAAAACAAACTAAACACGCCCAAAATGAGTAGAGCTCGTATGCTGTACAACGATACAGCACTAAACAAAATTATAAACATAAAATGGAAAGGAAAATGGCAAGAGGAGACTGTATTTCGATTCAAACAAGGCCTAGGCGCGACTATTGAGGGAAAGGTTAAAGATAAGTTTAGAATTTCAATAACTGACTCCACTTCCGGTAAAACAATCCAACACTATACTGTGATGAACCTTGCATTTACCAGAGCGTATAAACGATCGTTTGATAATTCTGGGGTAGAAGTTGAACCATGGAAGGCTGCTACAAAGAAAGTGAACACTGGTTATTTAATGTCTTCCTATAAAACTGTTGAACTTGAAACGTCGGCAATCACCCTGCAAGATTTGCTGGTGCATATCAATGTACCAGAGTTCGATGGTCATTTGCCGAAACTGGAACCAGATACTGTACGGGTGTTTTGTAACGAAAACAGTTTGGGGAATATTGAGGTCAATGTCGGCGAGAGTGTTCGGCTTAAAACGAAAGGAAATGGACCTTATATTGAATATGTTGCAAGACTTGACGAAGGTATAGGTATATGTAGGTTAGCACTATTTTCCATCCAGCAAACTGACCGATGTCATTTTCGGAAGGTAGAAGAGGTGTTAAACAGCTATGTAACTAACCCAAACCCTACCCCTACTCTAACCGCAACCCTAACTCTAACCTTAATTAATCGAACAAAAAAAATGACTTTAGAAAATCGATAGCTAGGGCAGTTTGCTGGATGGAAAAAAGTGCTAACCATATATTTAGGGTTACAGCTATATTACTAAATTCATGCCTTGTGAATAATTAGGGTTAGGTAATGGATAGGCATAAGGAATTAGGGTAAATCAGTAAGGTGGGTTAGGGTTAGAGGAAGGGTTAGGATTGGATTTGAATTAACGCACTGGGATTA